TACATCACAGCTTGAAGCGCTAATGTCAGACATTCTGCTACTTGGGGCATAGGTGGACATGTCGCTATCAATCTCCGAGTCAACGAGAACTCCATCCACGTCCCCCTCTTCCAAGATCCTGGGGTCAATCTGGTCATGATTTACTCCAAGATGTTGTGCAACATGCTGCACTAGGATCGGTGGCTGGACCACACCGGGTGGCTCCACTATACCATGGATCACGCCATCTGAGGAAATGACATAAATTCCGGGCTCAAACAGGCTCGTACTTTCTTCTGAACTTGAGCTTAGATCACCTTCCGCTGAAGTATTGTCACCCGAGCTAGAAGTATCATTGGGTAGGTCTTGCGATTGCACCTCACCATGGCTGTTGTTGTCATCGTCATGCTCTTGGCCATCAGGAATGTAGTGAACGTATGGGAAGGGCACGTTTGGGGATCCCATGCCCACGTAATACGATGTCATTCGGCTGACGAATCCTTCATTGCTGGATTCAGCATCATTATCAGTCTCACTATTGCCAGCCTGTTGCTCGTCCGCCATGGGGCATGCACTGCTTTTCGGCGGTTGAGCTTAGTGATTATGTATGTGTATCATCAAGAGCCAGCAAGACCCTCACTATTTACATGCATGCCAGCCAGCGCCCAAGTACGCATTCATATATATATATATATACTGATATGTATATATATATATGTGTGTGCGTATGTATGTGTGTTTGTGTTCCTGCAAACCTGTTTTGTCCTCTTTGTCCGCTGCAAGCCAGTCCTTGGACATCTTGGGCCAAAGCCAGAATTATGCATTCCATGTGTTTCTTCAATGGACAGACCTCGCGCTAACAGCTTCCTTGTGTGACATATATATTACATTTAAAAAAAAGAATCAATATTTTTAAATATATATATATATGTATATACATATATATATATACTGGAGTTTCACCCGTACCCACTGTCGGACCCATACCTGTCCTTGTTCTGATTTGCTTGATCTTTGGCCAGTTTGAATATGTCTACCACTGTTTGCACAATGGGAGGCTCTGGCGCCCGTTGCTTTGGCTTTTCTTCAGCCTGGAAGGTCAAAGAAAACAAAGCAGGCATATACCACTCCCACTGCATTCCAAGTGTTACAGCACTGGAAAATGTAATGATACTGGCCCACCGTCCAACCCATACCAGTCCTTGGCTCTATTCTTCTCAGCAATCTCTTGGGCCATACGGAATACATCTATCTTTTCCTGAACAATTGGGATGTTCCATCCTTTAGGAACAATGGTTCGTTTCTTGGAGGCCCGCTTTTCAACCAGCACCTGCCGTTTGCAACAGGGTTGAAATAACAGCCAAACTGTCGAACAGAAAATGTATGTGCATAAAACCTTATATATATATACACACATATTCATATATATATATAATATTAATATTTCACCTGAAGATAGAATGCCTGCATTGCGCGCATAGTTTGCCAACCGGCTTTTAATATTACTACCTCAGCCCCCCAACAAAAAACAACATACACTGAGTCAGTGTCTGTCCTCTTCATGACTCGGTTTTTCTTCTGAAACTGTTTGGTTCTCCAGGTCCTGCCCCTCCCCCACATTACTACCTCATTCATTCTGTACATCTCCAAAAAAAAATCAAACAAACAACTATATATCTACACTGCTTGGGTCCTCTTGGGTGCTCGGTTTCTCTTCAGAAATTTGCGGCTCCCCAATGAGATCCTCCTGGCACTTCAAGTGATTCATGTATGTATGTATGTATGTATGTATGTATGTATGTATGTATTTGGAGCCAGGAAAGCTGTAAACACTGTTGCATGCATGAGCAAATATAATGTGTATTTATATATATATATGGAAAACTACTTTTACTAGTGGCATCTACTTATATATATATATATATATTTATATATATGTGTGTGTGTCCATCCTGTTATAGATGCATCTATGGTGTTGCAAGCTGCATTCTATGTGTACATACACCCGGTATATTCACCATTGCAACCTATGTCCTGTCCTGCAAATCTCCTGGCGCATTCACAACATCATCCTCAGACGTGGCGGGAGAACATATTTGGAAAAAAACACTAGAACTGCAAATGAACCCCTAAAATTATATATATACGTATATATATTTATATGTATATTGTTATGTATATATATATATTATATAAGAAAGCACCGGTAGAACTCAAGTTTGGATCATGTGTATAATATATATTATATATGTAACAAAAGCCTGTCTGCTTGCAGCTTTTAAATTTAGTTCAGTCACATCCCCTGCTAGATAGTGATGCCGAAGGTCAGGATCAGAGCAGGGGTGCAGGGCGTCGTAATGACCGAACACATGTGAAGGATCAGCCACAGATTGCGTCCATGAATAATAGAGGTGAACCAGCTGAGGTGAGGTGGGTCCAAAGATGCAATCTCTCGGAAGATTAGGGATGCTATTATCTCGGACGTTCTCGTAGATCGATGGGTCCACTGTGAGCCGAATTTGCATACCCAAACACTCTGAGATCCACTTAAGATCCACTATTTCAAAAGAACCATGTGTCACCACTGACATGATGTTGTCTCTGAGTTCTGGAAATCGCTCCAATGCAGTTTCACCTCAGTTGTAGACAGTCTTTGTGAAACACATATCAAAACACGACAATTTTATGCATATAATCAAATATTTGTAAGGAAATCGATATGAACGGTTGTATTTAAAAAAAAAAATGTAGTCGATACAAGCATCAACAAGGTACAAATTGTTTCACATAAAGCCTTGGACTCCAAAATTTCTTGCTGATTCTGTCTCCTGTTGACGGGATATCCTGCGTCATTCCTAGAAGGGTTGCCAAGTTCCAAAATACAACGCGCATGCACCTGTATCTATATCTATATCTATATCTATATATATATATATGTATCTGTATCTAAAAATATATATATATATTTTAAAAAAAAAAACGGACATAAGCATTTATATGTATATATACTTAGAATATAGGTACCCAGTGAAAATATTCATCTTTTTTTTCAGGAACGTCACCTAATTCCATTGGTTTTCATTGTAAAATAGTTTTTTTTAATAGTTCCACGACACCGGTCGTGGGGGGTATTCTTCGGTGAGCTCGAAAAACTCATTTTTTTAATACAATATAAAAATAAATTGATCACTTTGGGGACCATTTTTTTTTGCTGAAACGGTCTAGTTCAGGAACTTCAGACATCAGGGTTGTTACTCCCCAAAGGGAATTACGTATATATATATATATAATACTTACCCTTATACATGGAAGAGACCCAATTCCATGTTTCGGTGCACTAGTATATGTATAATAAATATATATATATATACACATAGTATATTATCGACAGGCATTCTATGTGTACAATGCTCAACAATTTCAAATATCTGGGTTTCAGCCCATGTCCTTGGAACTAGCAAGAAGGACTCTGGGTCTTGACCACAAAGAATTGCCCGCCAACCGCATCTACCATCTCCGGCTACTTGGATAACACGGTAAGGCAATAACTGAGGCTGGGCAGGTTTCTCTGAATCGTTCTGGGAAATGAGATTGGTAATAGAGGAGGTCAGTTTGCGATGCAAATGCTGCTTGTTGTCAATCATCAGGTGATGTTCCCACACCAAATTGGCCTTCTTGTTTCGAGCATATCCCCATTGAGGAGATACTGTATGAACAGAATCCGGCTCATCTGACAGCTGGTACATCACCAATTCGCCAGGATTGAAAGGATGTACCTCATATATACACATTCCATGTGTTAAATACATGGATAATAACGCAAAACTATATATATGTATGTACAAATCAGAACACATCAAAACCCTGTCCTTTGAAAAAAAAACTCAATTCAAACTAAGCTACCAAAACACACACTGGATCTGATACGCCTTCCTTTTGGAATCCAGTCATCAAATTGATCCAGCTCAGCTTATCATCCGAGTGGCTGCCGGCAAGAATCACACCCAACCCTTGAAGATTATGTTCTGTTCTAAACTTCTTCAATGTCTCACTCGCAAACAAAACTTCAAAGGATTTCCCAACAACGATGTTTGTAGAGGATGTACGGCTGCCCTTAGTCTCACCCAGGCAAATCCCCACAATACCTGGCAAACGTTGTTGCCAGGTCTGGAAAGTCATCACGGCGGCCTTGTTGAAACTTGTTGCACATGCTGGCAATTGTGCCATCTGTTCTGCATCTACTGTCACCAACTCTGCAGTAACATCCTCATATGCTGCCAGTTTGTTTTCTGTAGCTTCACCGGGCTGAGTGCACATATCATCTAATGATGTATCTCCCCAACCACGAGCCATCTTTCTGGCTCTGGATAAAGCCTGGTATTGCAGTGACACTGGGTGAAACACATAGGATGTGTTTGTTGGGCGGAAATCAACATTATATGTATATATATATATATATGTAGTCGAGAACCGAAACTTAGAATGACGTTTTGGAAAGTTGACCAAACGGTTTTACACTTATACTGCTGCCTAAAAAGGTTACACATAGAATGCGTCCAAGGGTTTGGGGGGCATGTGTTTTATGTTTTTTGCTGACTTCCACGTGAATTATGCTTTCCTTGACGATTTTTGTCCATCCCTGCTGCATTTGTAACACTTAGAATGCCACACCAATCCTTTCCTCTTTCATTTTATTTCCTTTCCTTTTTCCTTTCCTTTTTCCTTTCCTTTTTCATTTCCTTTTTCATTTCCTTTGTCCTTTCCTTTTGTCCTTTCCTTTTTCCTTTCCTTTTTCCTTTCCTGTTTCCTTTCCTTTTTCATTTCCTTTTTCATTTCCTTTTTCCTTTCATTTTTTCCTTTCCTTTTTGTTTTCCTTTTTCCTTTCCTTTTTCCTTCTTTTTTTTCTTTCCTTTTTCCTTTCCCTTTTCCTTCCTTTTTTATTTCATTTTTCCTTTCCTTTCTCCTTTCCTTTTTCATTTCCTGTTTCCTTTCCTTTTTCCTTTCATTTTTCCTTTCCATTCTCATTTCCGTTCGCCTTTCCTTTCCCCTTTCCTTTCTCCTTTTATTTCTCCTTTCTCATTCTCCTTTCCTTTCCCCTTTCCTTTCTCCTTTCCTTTCCTTTCCCCTTTCCTTTCTCCTTTCCTTTCCTTTTTCCTTTCCTTTTCCCTTTCCTTTTTCCTGCCACTAAATGAACCACTAAATGTTCTGCCTGGCTGACAAGGCACGTTCTCATCAGCAGAGACCTTCATTGATGAAAAGCCCTTTTGCAATTTGCCGCACAAACGGGCCGAATCCAGCTTGTTAACCCACTGACAAGCTTCTGGCAAAGATGAGAACGTCTTTGCAAGCTCTTCCCCATGGGCAGAAAATTTGGCTGGAAAAGACCACGTGCCATCATTCTCAACAAGGGTAATGGAACCATGTGGAGAAGAGCTGCAAACTTGAGCTACATCTCGTTCCACATCCCCTCAGTATGGCATGCACATCCATATATACATATATCATATCATATATATATACATATTCAAAATAAAATACATTGGTATATATATGTATATATATATATAGGTAAATATATGTGTGATAAATTCTATTGAACACATAGCGCCATGCTATGCATATCAAGAAACTTTATGTATTTGTTTACGGAAATATATTCATATATATATATATGCCCGGGTGATGATTTGTGTGTGTAAATCAAACGACTGAGGTTCGGACGTACTTTCTCACTGAAACACAGCTGTTCCAGGCAAGATTTCTGTTCGGCCACTGTCCTCCCCCTCAAAACCAGCCCGTTCTCCGCTAGCCAATCTTTGCGCTCCTGCCCGGACAGTGTACGCATAGAATGACTGGTTGGAACACATAGAATGTGTCCTGACCAAAGAATCAACAAAATGCATGTCACACACATGCATATATATATATACAATTTTGATATCTAATATATATATCTCTCTCTCTCTATGAAAATCAAAATGCTCTCGCCCAGCCTTCCCGCGTCGAATTTCAAAGCCTGTCAGAAAACCTTTGGTGCTCTTGTGGAATGCCAACGCTGCTTGTCGTGCAGCCTTAATGTGCCCGAATTGACTTATCGTAAACTTCCGAGTGCTCTTGTCGATTTGAACGACATACCTCAGGGGATTGGCCAGTGACAAACTCTACTTTAATATATATATATAGCTAACACTTAGAATGATACAATGACGTATTAATGCTGTAAAAACAAGAACTTATTAATGCTGTATTTTGAAAAACATCAAACAATATCCTAATGAGTGGATTCCAATAGGGAAATAAAAACGTCTACAGTCTGGACCAGGCAAAAACATAGTTGGCACATATCTCTATATATATATACATATATATGTTAATTTTGGTTACATTTGACATGCCTGGGTTTCAATAGTGTTGGGAATTGATTTCAATCAGAGATCTGTATGTGTTTGACTGCCCGACTATTCCCACCCCTGGAACACTTAGAACGGCGGCAACAACCATGAATCAACGAATTGGAACCATCTCAATCACAAAACGCACACAATGATAGAACATAGGTGCTGTGATTTCATCTCTTTCACTCCGGTCGGAAGAGCTTGGAAGGTTCCTTTTGTATCAAGGATTGAAGGAGGTGGCTCATCTGGTGGAGGCAATGGAGGCGTCCCAACAGATGTTCCTCCTCCGCGCATATGTCATTCATAGAAATAAAGTGGTGCCAGCATCAAGAAAGTAATATATATATATACATGGTATTGAAAGACAACGCTGAGAATATATATATATATAGGGTTGTTTCAAAACAAACAAGAAAAAATACTAGGAAAACGTCCAAACTCCTCTCCTTTTGCTCCTGGAGTGTCGTCTGCCATATCGATGTACCCCAAATGGCAGCCAACGTGGAAAGGGTCGGTTAGTACACGGGCCGGCTCACTTTTATGCAAGACAAAGAATATATATATATATATATTAAGATATTCATTATAATAGAGGCAAAAAGGAAAAATCACATGAAAACCACATTTGTCACTTGTCGGTTGAAATTTATTAGTTCTGCTGATGAGTAGCGGCCATGTGTCATGCAGCTAAAGCCAATTGCGCAGGACGGGCAGAATCATTCAATGCAAATATGAAGATATCTCAAGATGTTTATAAAATTTTGTAAAGTTGTCTCTGGGGTTGGATTGGTGTGGCATTCTAAGTGTTACAAATGCAGCAGGGAGGGACAAAAATCGTCAAGGAAAGCATAATTCACGTGGAAGTCAGCAAAAATCATAAAACACATGCCCCCCGAACCCTTGGACGCATTCTATGTGTAACCTTTTTTGTAGCATTCTAAGTGTTAATCCGTGTGGTTAATTTTCCAAAACGTCATTCTAAGTTTCGGTTCTCTACTATAGATATAGAATATTATAGAATTATAATTGGCATGTCAATATCAAATTTGATGATCAACTATGATACACCAATGAGTTCAGATTTGATATTTTTTTTTCCGGCCGAAAAAACACATCGCAGCACGACATAGCGCCTTGGGGTTGACGTAGAGGCTCATCAAATGGCGTTTCAACTCCTCCAAGGGAATGTTGGTGCGCACCGCCAGGTCCTGGTGGCAGCTGTGGCGAAGCTGTGGCAATATAAAACTGTAATAAAAATGACAGTAAAAAATAATGATGATCATAGTACATATATATATATATAATTGATTTGAATAATATGATATAGTTGAATGTTAGTTGACTGTTGATTGATTATTGTTTGATTGTTGATCCAGTGTTGATTCAGTGTTGATTGCATCACACTGTGTCAAAAGTGTGCAGCCAACTGCATTCGGAAAAGTTGCCCTATACTGGTCAGATTGCTTGAACCAGTCCATACCATGGACATGAGTTCATTTTCAGGTTCTCAAATCGCCTGATAGGTCCAGGTGGTCTGCTGGTTGAAGAGCATCAAGATGCACATCTGATAAGTTGTGACCTGGGAAGATGTCTTAGTCATGACTTATGGTGACCAAATATGACCAAATACCCTCTGGTAATGACTAACATAGCTATTGAAAATGATGATTTATAGTGGATTTTCCCATTGAAAATGGTGATTTTCCATAGTTATGTTAGTTTACCAGAGGGTAAAAGATCGAAACGCAAAATCCTCAATCATGGTAAATTGTAAAGCTGATCTAATAACCTCAGGAAACATGCGTCCGCCATATGGCTTGGTCACTGCTCATCTCAAGGATCTCACGCCTTTCAGAATCCACTCGCGTACTGCAACATATCTGCAACATCATATCTGCAGCATCTACCTTCAATGATTTCGTATTCATGTGGAATAAACCGGCAAGCCCAGTGAATAAACCTACCATTTGCAGACACCTATTTACCACCCTGGCCGCAAAAGAACCAAGTCATTGGGTATCACTTAGTCATGTCCGGAGGCGTGCCATCAGAAATCCCCTGCCCCATGAACTACCTCTGGTAATTTAACATACCCTCTGGTAAACTAACATAGCAATGGAAAATCACCATTTTTAATGGGAAAATCCACTATTTCTATGGTCATTTTCAATAGCTATGTTAGTCATTACCAGAGGGTAGCCTTCACCATGTTTAACACGTAAATCATCTATAAATGGACCATGTTCCATAGCAAACCATCATACCCCTGCAATCTCCGCCCGAATTTTGCCGCCCTGCGTTCAATTCATGCTTCGTCTTTGGCATCTGAGCCTCAGGGTGTCGGTCTAGCGATCCCATGGCTGGATTGGCGATGGATCAACCGGTCCAAGCACCTTGATGTCGGCGAAACCGTTCTGTGGCTGCCAAAAGAGCTTTCGACCTGGAACTGTTGGGCGCTGAGCGGAAACCGAACGACAAGAAACGTTTAAAACAGCTCATCAAGACACAAAATTGCTGTGAAAGATATGCAAACGGAAATACAAAGATTGCAAAACAACACATAAATGGACCATAATTTAATAGACCTGTAGGGTACAAAAACTCCAAAGGTCTTCATTCGGTACCCGGTCCATGGGTCCCGTCCATGGGTCCCAGCGGGTGATCTCCTTGGCATCTACAGCCTAGCCCACTGATACCGTGCTTGATGCCCCATGGTTTCCACCGCAAAACAGGCACGGAGGCCTGTGTGCTTTGCCAGGTAAAAAGTTTCAAAGCGGCTGCAGCACTCCTGCAGGGTCAAGCAAGATATATGGGTTACCGTTGCTTGAAGCCCTTGAAACACTTTGAAGCCCAGAGATGCCGGGCCAGTCATGGGGATGTAGATTGAGAATGAAACCATAGACAACAGCTGTAAGGACAAAAATGGCAATGTTTCACCACCAACGAGTTGTACCAAGAAACACCGATGGGCTTAAGACAGGAAAGTTGGCTTTGTCAAAAACAAAAAATCCTAAAATATCCTAAAATTAGGGCCAATGTATGGCCAATGTGTTGCCCAGTCTTCAAACGTCACGTAGGTCGTAAAGAGAAAATCCCGCGGCCAGCCATGCAACGAAGCGCTGTTGCTCCTGCACTTCCGGTGGCAACTCACAGGGAGCTCCAGGAGGTCCTACCATCGCCGTGCGAGGGCTCATGGCCCGCAACAACTCAACTTGCTTGGGATTTGTTGATCATTGTTGGGGAAAAGATGGCATGATATATTACTGGTTAATACTGGTTAACTATATCGTTTCTATAAATATTACTGATTCACTATCATCATTGGAAAATTTATCGTTCGTTAACTATAGAGCTATGAATGAAAAGAAAAAAGATTCTGTGATCGCAAATGATGGCAAAGGTACCTTGGGGCTGTGCAAAAAGAATTGCTGCCAGAATCTCAGAATGCTGGACCTCTTGCTGCTATCAGTGGCTATCACCTGACTTTTTCGGACTGCCTGGCCAAAATCCGCTGGTCAGGACGGAGACCTGCCAGCCGCCGCGTCATGGAAATCCGATCACCCTCATCCACGCCGGAAACTAACAGAGCCGTTGAAAATGAGCCATTTGAAGATGATTTACATAATAAAAATTGTGATTGTCCATAGCTGCCCCGGTATGTCACTTTACCTTTACTAGAGGGAAACAACGGGAATGAAGCTGGAGATGTTCCAGAAACGGAAGTTTTGTCGCCAGGATGCTTTACCCCTGAAAAAGGAGATGCGAGGTCCTGGGTAGTGCTGAAAGCGGAACCTGATCATCTGTGGATCGAGTAGTTCTAATACTAAACTGTTTATACATATACATGTGTATATATATATATATAGAGAGAGAGAGAGAGAGCCCCACAAACGTACAGATATATATATATGTATATGTTGTTTACTGATGTTAGGATATATACATCTATTAATTCGGGATATGTATCTATATATATACATATATATCACGTTGTATCCCTATGTTCTATCTATTGTAATCTCCCCCATCATCTCGAGTGATACCAAAAAGATTGGTGCGGGCCTTCAAGTCAATGGACGAAGACAGCGCCGGAAGCCCTGGGCACACTCCGGCGGCTATAAGATTTCCGTGGTGGGAACCCCTGGCTGCCATAAACCTATAGCATTTGGGGATGGTTGGAATCCCACCCATAGAAACGGTGATTTTGGGGATGGTGTATGACATTGGGTTTGCCATATAACTAATATATTCAAAGTCTAGATGTCCAAAAGGCATCTTTACCAATGTGTTGTTAATACTCCATGCCTTGATTTGCCCTTCCGGGCCATTCTGAGACGATGTTGGCTTCCGATGAGCTTTTGATAGACGAGTGCTGCACGGTGCTTAAGAATATGAGTCGGGGTTCATCCTCCCAACTATATAATGGAATCCCAAAGCAGTAGCATTTGAAACCACCCACTTCACAGGTCATAAACCCATATATATATACCCTCTGGTAAACTAACATAGCTATGGAAAATCACCATTATTAATAGGTAAATCAACTATAAATGGGCCATTTTCAATAGCTATGTTAAATTACCAGAGGGGGTATATATACCCCTTCTTGTTGGTGAAGCCCCGAATGTTCAGTGGTTCAATTCAATTCTTGTTCAAAGAACTCCCTTTGTTTACCAGAACCACCACATATCTGGTACTTACTGTTAAATCTGCCAAATCACTATACTGTTGGCTGGCCGGGTGTGTCTGAAGCTAGGGTAAATCCCCGCTATTTTTGGACAGCCCCATTTCTATCACACCATTCATTGGTCAAAATTCGTTCAATAAGATTGAATCACTCTCAATCCCTATTGTGGCTGGTTTCATACCTATTTCTTTCACATATTGTGTATAAATACATATATGTACATATCCATATATTTATACACTTTTTCTATCATGTATTTTATCCTGTAGATATATATATATATATGTATAATGAACACAAATCATAAATGTCCCCCTTTCTGCGGGTGGCCGCAGCCGTTTTTTGTGCCTGTGCCTGGACGTCCAGCGGGCCCAGCACTGCCTGCGCCTCGCCTGGGGCATTGAATTCCAGGGGGTTGTATGATTTATGGTTTTTATACAGGTTTTATACAGAATCTAAGCTATACAGATTTTATATGGTGTTTAAAAGGTTTCTGTGATTTTTGTATGATGTATATATGATTTACATATATCTCATATGATTTATATATGTATACATACTATTTCATGTTTATATTAGTGGTTTATCTGGATAAATTATAATATATAATGTGGTAAACCCAATGTCATACACCATCTCTAAAATCACCATTTTTATGTGTGGGATTCCAACCATCCCCAAATGGTAGGTTTATGGCATTGGGTTGGCCACATTTCGTAACATAGCTATGGAACATGGCCCGTTTAGATACATTACATGATTAAAGAAAATATATATGATTCACCGAACTTAAAATTCAAAACGGTGATTTTTCATAGCTACGTTCAATATCATGAAATTACCAGAGGAATCCGGAGGAGATCTGTCTACTGTCCAACCCCAGCAGAAGCAGACAGGGACCGGTCTGTCCTGAGTGAGAAAGAATAGAAACGCCTCCAATTGGGATAGTTACCCCTACTAACTAACCATCATTCCAGTGAGTTCGCAGTGAGGTCGTCGCAAGTTACCCAGATCTATATGATTCTATATGGTTTTTGTATGGTATATAATGGGAATTGATATCTTTATCCAGACATCATTTCTATAAAGGGTTTACGAATGGCTTTATAGGGCTGCTGAATCCCAAGCAAATAGTAATATGGGATGTTTCCTGAAATGGTGGTACCCCTAAATCATCCATTTGTTGGGTGATTTTCCAGCATAAACCAACCAGGGACCCTTCACGTTTCCATCTTTCTTGGGGGGACCCCCCACGGGGGATATCTTGGGCTGCGGGCGCCATGGACGGACTGGTAAAGGAGTTCTTGTACCTGGAGAGGCGGTGATGGGGATCGACATTGAGGATATCATAGGGATTTATAGTGGATATACCCAGGAAAAAAGGATGAAACCTACTGGTTTAACCAACAAACAAATGTGATTTTAAGGCATATTTTAAGGCACATAATGGGGATATCTTGGAAAGATAATAGGGATATATTAGGGATACAATGGGAATATATCATGAGATCTTACCCTCCGGTGTCATCAAACGTGGCTGGCAATAGGAAATCCCCGTGGCCTAGCCATGGAGGTTTCTAGCTGGAAAATTCATCGCTGTCTCTTTGGAGGATTCATCCCAGTGAGTAGTTCGTTCGTAAGTGGGTGAAGTTTACCCAGCCACACATGGGACGGACATTCAACCAAATGGTGGTTAATGATGGTTAATGTTCAACCTTTGCTTGAACTTGAACCGTTTTGTAAGAGAAAATTATGCAAATTGGCAAAAAAGTGACCAAAAACAACACGAACATTAACCACCATCAACCACCATTAACCACCATTAACCACCATCAAACCAACAGCAACATCGAGCCATCTCTTGACCGGGCGACTGCTTCATGATGTCCTCAGACAGCTTCATGTCCTGAAACCTGAGGCGGACAAAGCTGGTTCGGCCACCCCCAAAGATCAGCAAACATATAGACATTCTAGAATAATATGAGGCTTTCCTGAAATAGGGGTACAGTACCCCAAATAAATCCAAAATGAAACCATTTTAGTATTGAAACTCCTATGGTTTTGGGCATTAAAAGGGTGTGGTTCTTGGGATCTCATCCCGCAGGAAAATTACCCTTGCGAGTCGCGGTGTGTGAGACTTTATCAGCAGCCAGTCGCAATGTTGGGAAGTCATATGGAACATGCCCAGTGTTCAGTTTCCACCTGATGTTTGGATGAGCAAATCTGACCAAGTGTTCATCATCCGTTGCAGCAATTCTTCAGCCGACGATCCAACAGTGATCCTAGCTGGTTCGTATGTTATTTTGAATACAAAAAACACACACACACCTCACAAACAACCAACTAGGATGAGACACCAACCAACTGTCATTTCAACGAGTTCTAGTTGAAATGATCGTTTCAACTTGGAACAAAATATCGAAGTACTTGAGACCACCAGCGTGTCAGCCAAGAGAAGTCCGCCACCCCCGGTGCTTGGTGCTTGGGGTTGGGGTGATTGATCCCCTGCTGCCGTTATTTATAATGTACGTACTATTTACTTATATTTAATTACAATATGTGTATTGTGTGATGTGTGGTCAGGCACAAAAGAGGTGAAAAGAAAAATACATGCTTCCAAATCATCCAGTACCCAGTATCTTGGTGATACGACTTCTCCAAAGGGATTGGCAGAAAATCAACGACAAAAGATGCAACGACCATTGACATTTCATGGTGGGAAAAAAATAGTTCTCTGGAAGTTCAGCAGATAGCTATCGAAAATGGCACATAGAAATAGTTGATTTACCGAACTTAAACATTGTGATTTTCGATAGCTTTTTGTAAACGTCTACCAGAGAATTCTCTGAGTCCCGACATTCCCTCCAACTTGGAGGTGTATTGATGACCACATTCACCTCGGTGCATTTGGCGATATCTTGGTGACCTTGCCCCGCCGGGGCAAGGTGTGTGTTGAAAAGAAAAGACAAAAAAAAACAAGAAAATATGGCAACCCCCATAAAATAATCCCAACATCTCAATGGTTTAGGATTTTACTGTTCTATCTTCTTTGGGGAGTGCTATAAACTATATATATTTTGCAGCTCCCAAGCACCCTCGGTTTACTCACTGGAAAACCATAATTCTAGTAGGAAAATAAGTTTCCAAATCCACTTTCTATTGGTTTCTGAATATTAATGAATATTATATAGTGTCAAAAAGGTATGTAGATGTTGACCCACATAAACAAAGAGCTCACCACCAACCAAACGATGCTGTTCGCGACTTAAATACTCACTTGTTTCGTTAAGTCCCGCAGCTTTACTTTGCTAGGCGCTTCAAGTTTGCGAACGAAACTCCCTTTTGGTGAGTCAACACCATTTTTGTTGCTTAAATGGGTTCGTTGGAAAATGGGGTACCCCATTTTAATATCCCACGGTGTATCCTCATTTTCCCCATTAAATGGTTATCAAAAGGGAGTTAGTGCCCCATTTTCAGGTCCAAAGCCAACTCCAAAAAATTAGTTGGTTCAAGCCCTGTTATTGATGCTTAAATCCCCATGAAATGGCTTCGTAAATCCCCAAGGTTATTTCTAAAATCCTCATCTCACTATCCCATAATATCCCCATTATACCCGATTTTTACCCCATAATATCCCGGTAATCCCCATTTTTGTTGGTTAAATATGTTAAAATCCCCATGTTCGTTGGTGAAATCCCCGTTTTTCCCAGGTAAATCCCCCATCTGTTTCGCGCAATTCGATCCCAAGGGGCTCTTGAGCTTGGAGATCATGCTCCTTTCCGCCTCATCGCTCACACTTCGACCTGGGAACCAGCGGAGTTTTTGTTGAGTGATAGGAATGCTAGTAACCACCACCACAACAACAACAACAACAACCACAACCACAACCACAACCACAACGACAACGACAACGACAACGACAACGACAACGACAACGACCACCACCACCACCACCACAACAACAACAACAACGACAACCACGACAACCACGACAACCAGGACAACCACGATAACCACACACAATGGGGAAAGCGACACTGACAACAAAAATAAAACAAGTTGCAATTACAAATGCAACTACAATGGAATGACCACATTGTTTGTGATTTTAACATGGTTGTTTAACCAACAAGACGTGATTTGACCTACAAAAACTGAGAAGCGACCAACAACAATCAAAATATCATGGGAATCTTATCAACAACACCTGTCAAATCTATCTATAATTTATTATATGTATCATAATAAGTATACACATATAGTGGGCAACCGATATGGCAAGATACATGGATCTGTCCCCAAAATGGGGCCCAACTTGTCAACGGGCCATGGCCGGCCTGTAAGCAAACGCCGCGACAAATGCTGTTTGTAGAAGTTTTCAAAGACATCCTGCAGAGCAGCGCTTTTAGGGCTGAATCTCTATGGTGGTTTCGTGACAACGAAATCAGGTAGGACAAGCGAAAGGCGCGAACCTGCCAAAAATGGTGTGTCCAAAAAAAAATTAGGCGAAACTTCAAATTGCAGTGTATCATCATTTTCCACATCAAAATTGTGATAGAAACTGGGGGTACCCTCCAGTAATCAAACATGGGGTGCTGGAGAATCTTCAAATTAGTTCAATGATCTCCCAATTAAAACCTCCACTTACAGATGAATTTCCCACTACATCCCCCATATTTGATGGTCAAAACCCATGCTTTCCTGTAGATGTTCCCCTCATTTCTGTGGGATTTTCCATCAGCACTTGGAGCTGATCGACCAACAGCGTCCTTGTCTTGCAAGAAGCGGAAGACTGTGACAACCTGACGATCAAAATGGCCGATCCAGTGGGAATATTATGGGAATATCATTCGGAATATCATCATGATAGTACGGGGATATTCTGGGGATATTGGATATTACGGGGAAATTAGGGGAGATTACGAGGAGATTATGGGATATTGAGATACTGCGCATTTCAGCAACAAATGTATCATATATCCATACTGTAGGTACATATCCCACTATTTTTTGTTGCCACACAAACTTTGATCCAGATCATTGCTGAGCTTTTCTGATAGGATGCAACGGATGCAACCCCTACAAGCCTCATCTATCGTGACGTAAAATTCAACCCAATTCATTTGGCTAGGTAAAAATTGGGTACCCAATAATGGATGGTCAATGATGAAAAAAAATAGCATATCTGCGGCCCACAAAGTCTAAAACTTTGACCCACACCCATTTATTGATTTCAACGATCATTTGATGGATTTATGTGCAGGAAAGAAAAAGCGGTTGACCCCCCCCCAGACATCAGGGTTTCAGATTGTTGGTTGCATATGTATGTGTGTATATAATATATATATATGTATATATTGATATCACACCATCCTCAAATTTAGTGATTGGTTACCTTCTAGTAAGTTATCTAACATTGCTATGCAAAACCACCACGTTTAAAAGGTACACCATCTAGACACGGCCATTTCCGCGGCAAACTGTCAGTTTACCAGAGGGTACATGGTTAAATCACCACTGCCTATCGTTAAATCCCTATGTGTGATGATGGAAACATCAATATTTTTCACGGTTAAATCCTCACTTTTGATCGTTCAAATCACCACGTTCTATGGTTCAATTCCCCCCAGTTCCCAGTTCGTCGCCTGCTCCAGGGCCGTGTCGACATCTGCGTCGCTGGACATTCCCTTGAGACCCTTGCGGAACCTGAGAACTCAACGAGGTGCGTGGAACCACCAACTATTGCATGTGGGGCTTATGTGATATAATATGTATACTGATGCCATCATTACCAGCTTTGGGCAAGTCAGAGTTTTTCGATCCAGAGGCTACGTGGTTATGATAACTTGTTCCAGCGTACTTAGAGTGTCACAGTATTATTGCTTATGTGGTGTGGAAACCAGGACTCGAACCATTATGTGTATGACCAGAACTCCGAACGATAACACCCCAGAATGGTAGCGAGGCATCGGAAGGTAATTACTATGATTCGCTGGGGTAGTCGTTGTAGTCATTCTAAATAGTGGGTATCAAATTTTGGAAAATGAACATGACAGAACATTCTATGGGTGTTTTAAAAAACCCGGTAATGTTGATGGATGAAAGCACTGGTTTTTCTTTTTTCCATTAAAAAATTGCAATATCAGCCCCATATTCCACACCCCATCCCACAGCCCAAGTCGCTGGTCATCCACATACAGTGACAAGTATTGCGCCGTGCGCGTGTCCTGGGAGTAATGGGGATATCTTGGGGGGGAAAAATGTCACAAAGTGACATATACACATTCTCTGTTCTGATCATGTTTTTTGTTCAACCTTTTTAATGAATCTATGAAATATTCTAGTGCAATCAAGTAGGTAGTTGTTTACCGAAAAGCATGCATTATTTGCAATCATTCGCAAGCACATAGCACGACTACTTAGTTGGGTGCGACTCCAAATCGTAAGTCCCAACATGTTTTTAATGGTTTCCATGTACTGCGAAATAGGAGTGTTCCATATTCTTCTGCCCCATGGTTGCCGATGTTTTGAACGTCTATGACTCCATTCCCAAGGGAAGTCTTGGCGACCTGCCTTGTTCAGAAAGGACTCGAAGGCTTGTTTCAAGGCCAACTGAAAGTCCTCCATTGGGCTGGCATCCCCCCCACCTTTTGTCAAACTCTAGGAGTTAAACTGGGGAAAATGGTCGTCCAAAAACGAAGGCCCAAGAAGCTGCTTCAGAGAGATGTCTTTGAGACTGGAGATGCGCTGCCTATATCTCAGTGGATTGGTTTTCTTGGGAAAATCTGCCAGAAACCACGTTTTTGCCAGCAATTATAGAGGTTCCTGCAATTTTTTCCCATCATCCCAGACTATCCTGAAATCAAGAAACGCTGTGGATGGTGGTGGACAAAAAGTTGCGTATAAAATTGAATTGCACAGGTCATATTCGAAACACACGTCGACTTGGATGGATGGATGGATGGATGGATGGATGGATGGATAGGTAGGTAGGTAGGTAGATACACCCAAAAGCTGCAAAGGCGTAGCAAGGAGTCAATTCGATCAGCCACCAATGTCAGGAAAAACAACAGATTGCTGATAACCATGACAGTTCAAGCTATGCTGATCAAAACAAACGAACTCTCTAGAGCACATACATATCATGTTGGGGTCAGCTGCACCCAATCTCGCAAGTCCTTGCTCTCTTTGAAGGATTCCTTTACAAACCTGTCGTACCTGGTGTTGGCACGCAACCAACCTCTCGAGAGGGGAGGGCTGATGGACTGAATGAAACATAGTGCCAGTTTCAAAGAGTGGCCACCCTAAGGAGTAACCAAACATGGCTGGGGAAATCCCATGTTTCATGGGATTTTTTTTATACATATACGGTGCGTGTGTGTGTATATATATATATATGTACATATGGGGGGTTCCTAAAATAGGGGTACCCTCAAATCATCCTAAATTAGACTATTTTAGATTATTTTAGTATTGAAACCCATGGTTTTGGGGATCCCTCATTTTAAGAAACCTCCATATGTACAGTAAATGATCAGCAAATGAGTACATTTTGTGATTCTTTGCAACACGCGTGCCCTCAATCAAATCCGGTCAGGAAACCTCGGATTTCGCGATTTTAGTCTAGGTAATCTACAAATATGCTTATTGCGTGTTTATGTTTGTATGTATCATATTATAACATCCATAGACCATCCCCCAAAGCAACATAGATCCTGAAATCCACCATCCCAAAAGGAAAGTAGTCTTCCAACCCCCACTCATGATAGGGTCTAGGTTAGTTGGGGATAGTGTTCGTTGGGGATGGTGTATTTGTCGGTTTGGTCAGCTTTTACATTTTACATTTTATCCCCCAGGCCCCATTCAAATTGAAATACGTTTCACCCCCATCTGTGTAGGTTATGTGTATCGGTACTCCGAAATTTGATTGTTTATCATCATTTTAAAAAATTAATCCCATGTTTGATGGCTCAACACCTCATTTTCCCTATTGACACTTGCCATTTTTGAAGGGTACACAGGCCCCAGTTGTCGCGAAACCCACGAATTCAAGTACTGGAGGCCCAGCAGCTTCCTACCTTTTAAGGACAACAACAAAAACGACGGTGAACGTCAGACTCGGATGCTTCGTCTGGGCCCAAAACATCTTGACCCTTACAGTAGCCTCTGCCCAAAATTTGCCCGCGGAAACGTGTGCGGCACTTGTACTTCAGGTTCAAGATCGCTGTGATGAAGGACACTGGGTCCTTCACTTTCTCCGGGTCGTTTAACACATCCCGTCCTGCAGGAATGGGCAAATCAGAGCAAGGTCAGGGCAAGGGGAGAGAAATATTCATGACTTGCCAGGTGATAACCAGCACCTGGTGGTCTTAGTCTGATGTTTTCAAGCATCCGAAAAAGGGTACTAAGAATGGGGTTCTTATGTGGATCCACAAAGTCCATAAGTTTTGGTACCCAATTTCTGTGGTAAATCTTTGTGGCGCCAATGAGGCCATGATCATCCCAGGGACCGAAACAGCTCCTGCTTCACACATGCAATCCATCATCACCTGGCGACCGCTGCATGGATACGGCAACACAGGTGAAACGATAGAACCATCTAAGAGTCAGGAGAACAAATGAGCCCATCCCCATCCGTCCCAACATGTTTTTTGAAATATGATTTTTGAGAACCTATATTGGGGGTATTTAATATTGCGGGGATGACAACTAGAGGATTTTACACTTCAACCCGATTTTGAACCAGCTTAAAGATCTCGAGTCTGCCATGTTCAAGTTTCTGCTGGAGATAGCCCTATTCCACATTCTTCCATTCATCAAATCGGACGCAAGCAACCCATGGGTACGCGACCAATAGGAATGGCGATATCACTCCAGCAACTAGGGGAGGATACCATCGTTTTTGAGCATCGGACTCCACTAATTTGAGGAAGTGTGCTCGTATACAAGAATTTTTCTGGCTCCCCAATATTCAGAAACATCCAAAGGGAATCTTCAAAGCCGCATTTCTCTTAAATACCCCTTGAACATACTGTATATACTATATATACATGTATATACCCTCTGGCAATCAAACCTAGCAATGGAAATCTCCTATTTATAGATGTTTTTCCTATTAAAACCTCCATTTATAGGGAATGTCCCATTGCCACGTTTGATTACCGGAAGGTAACCGCATCTCTTTATAGATATGGTTTAGGATTCACCGGCAAAAACTGCAGATGTCATCTCAGTTTTTGTTCGAATTGGTATCAGCCATTGGGGGGTCATTGTAAATCAGCAAAAAATAGTGGTCCCCAGTCAACGACTTACCATAGTTTATCTAGATTTTATCCACCATATCCCCTTTATATTCCATATATTATCTCGATTTGTCCAGATACTAGCCCATATGTTCCATTTTGTTGGTTAACGTTGGTTCTATATCCCCAACATATCCCGCCCCATTATAAGCATATCATCTCCACCATTTTAACTTCCCATTTTTATCCTATGGGTCCCCCACACCATCCGTGCACTTGGCTTGAGCCCGATGATCCTCTTCAAACCCGGTGAAATCATCTTTACTTTCGGCTCCATCCCGCAAGGGGATATTCACAAAGAGATTGATGCCCCTTAGACTTTCCGGGGTAGAACGGCTAAACGATTCTTGGGAATGCTTATATAATCGATACATACTCAAGTGACGGTGGATAAACCTATATAATCCTCTATATTATATAATATATATATATATATATGATATATATAATAAGCTTCCAAACCGGCAAAAACTCAAGGCCATACAAAATACCCGCGGTTTCCTGCAAAACCTTGGATATGTTCATCCCATTCTGAAAGTACGGGTTAGTAATTACCGGTAAAGTACGGGTTCAGTGCGGGTCAAATACGGGTTTAAGAACCAAACCCCGAGGTTTCCCCCAAAAAACTGAGGTTTTCCATGGTTTTCCTCGACATGTGGAAATGCCCGCGGCTTTTCTTGCACCCGTAGAATTCTACAGGTTTTGGTGCTACAGTAGGTATGGGTATGAATCAAAAATATTTTTTTGGGTAGATCGTTCCACGGCAATTCAAGGGTATGGAGTGGGCCCCAGGGTCTGATCCGATTTTGACTCGTGCCCAAATGAACTGATTCTCTTGAGGTCCCTGTTGTTATTGCAGTATGGGTGCCGCATTTTCCAAACTGGTTATATACTTATATACACATCAATGCAATGTACTAAAATATCATATCACATACTTTGTCGTATCTGATCTTTGTACTTCAACAGCGACAGTGGAATTCACGCCTTAGAAGCAACATTGTGAGATCCACTGAGCCATTTCAAGCCAAGTCAATTGTCCATCCTGATTCTTTGGCAGGAATCTGTCGTATTACCTACTGATCTACTGAGCAAAAACCATCAAAAACCCACATACGGCTCGATTCAATGCTCTTAACTCTTAACATAGGGGGTATCAAAAAAAAAAACATGTCTGTTGAAAAACACATGTGTGGTTCACTTCATGAAAAAAGATGTGCTTTGAAATGTTGCACCACCAAATGCTAGACTAGGCAGTATATAATATTATAATATATATATATAAGCCTGACGGAGAGTTGCCTTTTTCATGCCATTTCTGCTCCAAACCATACAAAGAGAGTTCAATCGCTCCACAGGCTCTTGGCCCAGCTTTCCCTTTGCTTTCATGTTGCGCTGCCTTTGAACCCAGATGCCAAGTTTGCCACCGTCAGCGGTCTCGAAATGGAAAGGAATCCTCACATGACCATGTTCAGCATGGTATGCAGTCAGATTGCGGAAGCCCAGCTCCCAATCCTCAGCGAGTGGATCCCAAACCATACACAGAGAATTCAAGCGCTCCGCACGCTCTTGGCACAGCTTCCCCTTTGCTTTCATGTTGCGCTGCGTACCAGCGGTCTTGAAATGGAAAGGAACCCTCACATGACCATGTTCAGCATGGTATGCAGTCAGATTGCGGAAGCCCAGCTCCCAATCCTCAGCGAGTGGATCCCAAACCATACCAAGAGAATTCAAGCGCTCCACACGCTCTTGCCCCAGTTTTCCCTTTGCTTTCATGTTGCGCTGCCTTTGAACCCAGATGCCAAGTTTGCCACCGTCAGCGGTCTCGAAATGGAAAGGAACCCTCACATGACCATGTTCAGCATGGTATGCAGTCAGATTGCGGAAGCCCAGCTCCCAATCCTCAGCGAATGGATCCCAAACCATACACAGAGAATTCAAGCGCTCCGCACGCTCTTGGCACAGCTTCCCCTTTGCTTTCATGTTGCGCTGCGTACCAACCCAGGTGCCAAGTTTGCCACCATCAGCAGTCTCGAAATGGAAAGGAACCCTCACATGACCATGTTCAGCATGGTATGCAGTCAGATTGCGGAAGCCCAGCTCCCAATCCTCAGCGAGTGGATCCCAAACCATACCAAGAGACTTCAAGCGCTCCACACGCTCTTGCCCCAGCTTTCCCTTTGCTTTCATGTTGCGCTGCCTTTGAACCCAGCGACCAAGTCTGTCACCGTCAGCAGTCTCGAATTTTCTGGGAACCCTAACATGTCCATGTTCGGCATGGTATGCAGTCAGATTGCGGAAGCCCAGCTCCCAATCCTCAGCGAGTGGATCCCAAAGCATACCAAGAGAATTCAAGCGCTCCACACGCTCTTGGCACAGCTTCCCCTTTGCTTTGATGTTGCGCTGCGTACCAACCCAGGTGCCAAGTTTGCCACCATCAGCGGTCTCGAAATGGAAAGGAACCCTCACATGACCATGGTCAGCATGGTACGCAGTCAGATTGCGGAAGCCCAGCTCCCAATCCTCAGCGAATGGATCCCAAAGCATACCAAGAGAATTCAAGCGCTCTACACGCTCTTGGCACAGTTTCCCCTTTGCTTTCATGTTGCGCTGCCTTTGAACCCAGATGCCAAGTTTGCCACCGTCAGCGGTCTTGAAATGGAAGGAAACCCTGATATGCCCATGTTCAGCATGGTATATTGTCAGATTGCAGAAGCCCAGCTTCCAATCCTCAGCGAATGGATCCCAAACCATACCAAGAGAATTCAAGCGCTCCACACGCTCTTGCCCCAGCTTTCCCTTTGCTTTCATGTTGCGCTGCCTTTGAACCCAGCGACCAAGTCTGTCACCGTCAGCAGTCTCGAATTTTTTGGGAACCCCAACATGTCCATGTTCAGCATGGTATGCAGTCAGATTGCGGAAGCCCAGCTCCCAATCCTCAGCGAGTGGATCCCAAACCATACACAGAGAATTCAAGCGCTCCACACGCTCTTGGCACAGCTTCCCCTTTGCTTTGATGTTGCGCTGCGTACCAACCCAGGTGCCAAGTTTGCCACCATCAGCGGTCTCGAAATGGAAAGGAACCCTCACATGACCATGTTCAGCATGGTATGCAGTCAGATTGCGGAAGCCCAGCTCCCAATCCTCAGCGAATGGATCCCAAACCATACCAAGAGAATTCAAGCGCTCCACACGCTCTTGGCACAGCTTCCGCTTTGCTTTGCTGTGGCGCTGCTTACGAATCCAGGTGCCAAGTTTGCCGCCGTCAGCAGTCTCGAAGTTGCTGGGAACCCTAACATGTCCATGTTCAGCATGGTATGCAGTCAGATTGCGGAAGCCCAGCTCCCAGTCCATGGAATTTGTCTTGAAGAGTGATGGAAAAACGCGGAGACGCAAAAGGCGGGCTGCTTCTTCAATAGGGTCATGGTTCTGGCTGTTCAAATGCTTCGAATACACCGAAATCCTCGAGTTGACACTTGCATCTTTGAGGGTCTGACTTATAGACGTTCTCAAAAGCAGGTCAGCTTGCGCAAGCTCCATCAACAATCGTCCCAACTCAATGTCCTCAACCAACGTCCCATCCTCAACCTGCGACAGTGGAGGTGCAATGACCATGGCATCAATCTTGCGCGGATGCTTCCGCAAGACTCTTCCCACACACTGGCGCAGGCGCACCGCATGTCTCGGTGCCACGAAGAGGCAGGTATCGGCACATGGCAGGTCAACCCCTTCACTCAGGACATCCACCGTGACCAAAACCCTGATCCCTCCATGTGCTGGGCTCCGACCAAAGCTTCGCAAGATCTGTTGACGATGTGCTTTGGATGTGTGGCCATTGTAATGATCGGCAGGGATGCCTTTGCTGTTAAGGAGCCGTGTGAAATATCTTGCCTCGTCAACGGTGTTGCAAAATGCCAGGATCTTCCTTGCCATCGGCAGGTCCTGAATAAGTTCCACCAAACCGGGCCGTGGATCACCTGCAGTGAGAATTGGCACCATCACACTGTAGTCGCTGATAATGCCAGCCTCAATGGCAGGACGGAGGCCAAACTCAAAGTCGGGTTTGTTTCTCAGCAAGGTTGCACTGAAGAAGATCCTTTTCTTGGCATCCAACCCCAGCACTTGCATCGCATGAACACCATCTACAGTTTCATTCCCTGAAGCATCTTCTGAGCTGGGCTCGTAGTGATGAGCTTCATCCAAAATCTGCAGTTCGAAGGTCAAATTCTGCAGCTGCCAGGCCGAATTCCGCACACACACGAAGAGCTGCGCTGACAAGTCCGCAGGGTATCCCGTGCCCACACGGGAGATTCGAAATGGCAACGTCTCTTCCAGCAGATCGGCCAGTTGCTCCATCAGATCCAACTTTGGGACGATGATGCATGCCTTCCCTGGGCCCAGGCCCAAGCCAGCCAACAAGTCTGTCATGACCAAGCTCTTCCCAGTGCCAGTGGCCATTTCAACAAAGAAGTCCTGTTGGGTGGTGGCTTCTACCCATTTGCCAAACTGGCCGTTCAGTCGGTACAAATATGCAAAAGAATGCACAATATCATTTGACAGTTTTCCCATGTTGCCAAGTAGGAGTCTGAACTGTAATACAAGTCGAACAATTGGTACTTCTTACTTGAATTTTATATAACTTTATACTACTCACAAAATCTCACAAATACACAAACGGCTTCGAAATCAGCACCCAGTCCCGCTTGGAGTTGGTCAGAAACTTCTGGCATTGAGCCAGGCAGGCGAGTTGATGAGGCCAGCGCTTCAGGTCCTGAAACCATGGTGGCTGCAAGGATAGGCCAAGAATGGGAACCCTAAAGGTGCTACAGGTCATTGAAAATCCGCAAGTTTTTGATGGCCTTGTTCTAGTATGGATGCTGGGAATAGTAAGGTACAAAGTCATGTATGGAGTAACTGGGATTACATGAGGGCTGGTTTGAACCATGTGCGTCTCAGAGATCGATCAATCTTGATTGGCACAAAAGAAGGCTTTACTAATTAATATACCATCATATTTTACCTGCCATAATGCATGATCAATTCTGGGTCAAACTTACAGTAGGCACCCCAAAAAAATGATGATGCAGGACTGTGGATCAAACCCCTGTTCCTTGGTGAACATCGAAATAGCTTACATTGCTTTTGCGATTCATTCCCCAAAATATCAGTCCTGGAGTTGTGTCAAAATTTGGAAACCAGACTCTCAAGGTCGGTTTGTCATCATTTCACCCAATTCACAATTGCCATGTTCGGGCACCCCCCACTCTCACACGAATCGAGGGTATCAGATTCTGACCCAGCCCAAAATATTTACGAACTGCCCGAAATGCTTACTTACCCCGGTCCTTTTTCCCAAGCTCCAGCATCACGTCTTTCGCTGACTCGTTTCTTGCAAGCTCTCGCCACCTGGAGCGGTTGAAGCGATTGGATGCGCCGAGCGCAAACCATTCCCATCCTGTCCGGGTGCCTTTAAAACATGCAATTCAAACTTACAACCAAAATGTTCTGCTCAGCGATTGCCATTCCTGGCAAAGATTCTGGGAGACCCCAGTTGGAAGTGCCCAATTCCCACCTCTCGATCTCATCCTGCGTGTAGCGTCGGTGCTTTGCTCCGCTCCATTCCCAGTCCTGCGGCAGCCGCGTGCTCTCGTTGGTGGCTACCACCATCTGCTGAACCCGATCCTTCAAGGGCGACCCCTCGGAACGCACCAAGTAGTAGAACCTCGGTGGATGGAAAACTGGGGATGTGTTGAATGGGAAGGAGAACACAAACAAGGCAAAAAATAGCGGAGATGTGATGAGGATCCTATTGGTCTAGGGTTAAAAACAAACAATATATGTCAAACTGTCTGAACATCATTGAACCCACTCAATCCAAACTCCAGTCAGACCATACGGATCTCATCTCTCATCTCCTCATGGTTTCACCCAGCAACATGGCCAGACGTGCCATTGGCACATAGCCCTGGTAATCCTTTGCCTGCACGGCTGTGCTGAGATTCAACGCTAGGGAGTCGATGCCACGATCCGCCCCGGGCAGGCCCCAGAAGTCCTCCAGGGGGTGACTTCATATAAAATGATATAAAGTTGGTAGAAACGAACATAATATTCATACATAATTCCCCTGCAGTGGTTAAGACCACACGCAATGGTTACGACCACACGAAACAAGCAAACACTTTAACAAGCTCCTTGAAATCAGCAGGTATTTGGCCTCAAATTGTGCTGGCCAACTAACCATAAAATGCAAAATCAACCAAACAACAGTATCTTGCCACAAGACTTCTCTTCCAAACACCTCTTTACGATTCTGTATGTGTCATGATTCAATGAGGATTCCGACTTAGATTGCAGAGGCATTTCATCAACATCAGATGATGCCGTCTCCCCCAAATCCCCTTCACTTTTTTTGCAGTCTGGTTCGGAAACACCTAAATCAATGAACTAATTTTGAAAAAACATTTCCCAGACTTCACAGCCAAGCAGCTCCACGGCACCGTTTCCAAGTCCAACGCCGAAATCAGCTCCAGCTCCCGCCCCGGCCGCAGGTTCCCCTCCGCAATGGCCTCCAGGGCCTTGCTGCGCACGGCCGCGTGGATCCGCCGTACCTCCAGCGGTGCCAGCGGCGCAAGGCGTGGCCCAAGGACCTGGGCCCGGAGCCAGCAGCAGCTCAGGGCGAGGCGCGGCGACGGTGGAGGGAACGGGAGGCCATGGTGATGCACGGGTGTGGCCGGGGTGTGGCTGAGGCAAATGGCTGAAGAGTGGAAAGTGCAATGAGTGGGGATGGAAATGGGAAGGGTGAACTCCCAGATGGTCGGATCCCAACTGCGAGTCTGCGACGCCTTTTGGACTTCCTTCAGGGTCACTGGGACACGGCAGAAGAGCAGATACATCCTGTGGCCACGTTTTCTTGGCATCAAAACATGGGAAATTGCTGGGATAGACTGGAATTTGCTGGGATATGTAACCAGCAAAGTATGAATTCTGGGGTGCCCTATCTTCAGACACACCCTTGTAGAAACAGGTGAAACTTTAAGACCTGGGGCACAGAAGATGTGTTTTGTTTTGTGGTATTAGCTGGTACACATTCAACTTTAGGCAGTGATGTAGAATTTTGACCCATGGCCATTCTGGGGATTAACGGCAAAAAGTGGGGGATGACTGGTAAATCCCTTAGCATCATGTGTACCTAGAATGGTTGTGAAAAATCTGGGCTCACGGCAACCCCCAAAAAGATACGAAAGTAAAATCCTAGTAAAATAATATCAAATCATCGTTCTCTCTTTTTGGATCTTTTTGGCGTTTCTATAACCCTCTTTTTTCATCACCCTTTGGAATCAAAAGTGCATGTGGTGGGATGGGGCCAGCCAATCACGGCGACGAAGCTTGATCATCGAAGCTGGGCAAAAGCAAATAGTGTTGAACCAAGGAAACGGTTGGTTGAAAGAATCGGAAAAAACGGCAATCAGATAGTACGTGCTCCGGAAAAAAGTGTGATACAAATTGAAAAGTACAGCGACTCTGGTGAATCTGTGATTCCTGGACAACCTGCATTTTAAAAAAAATGGTGATTGGGATGTAAGCATGGTCTCCAACCAGTGCCATCTCCAACAGCAAATCCACCTCTCCAAGTCTTCGATCTTGTCGCACTGGAACATCCAGGCGCACCTCAATCGTGGGGGATGGTTAGAGACTAAAGCGAATGATCAAATGAGGATGGTTCCATGATGTTCCATTTTTGGGGGATGTCCAAATGCTCAAAATGATTGATCCCAAAAAAAAATGGTTTAGGGGATGGTTTCGATACCGCAATTTCAATATTGTGAGTGCATCAAACGGGTGTCAAAACCTGAAACCCTACATTTGGGTTGAATAAATGTCATCAACATCACCAGCCATTCTGCTTTTGGAACATTATTTTCCATGGTTAAATCATCATTTTCCATGGTTAAACCACCATTTTCCAAGGTGAAACCACCATTTTCCATGGGGAGAGCCATCCATCAGTCTGAAGTCAGGGCACCCAGAATTCTCCATGTGGATCAAGGTCTTGTAGTGGACCTGGATCCACTCTTCATCGCACAGCTCCTGGAGAGAATGGGGGACCCCTGAAGAAAGCTGTGGTTAACCCACAGAAGAAACCACATGAAAGCACCAATTCGGATGGAGTTTACACCACCCGTGGCCCTTTCTGAATGGTAAAGTGGGGTTGGTTTATTGCTGGGTTTACCGTAGAAAAGAATTCATTGAGAGCAACTCTTTTGGAACCCGGACTGGGAAGTTTCTGGAAGTCTGGAGGCAGCACAGTCCAAAACCATGTCTGTCACTTGCTGAGAATTTCACCAAGCTCCCTGCGAAACTGTGGAATCGTCACAAGAAGATCGGCAATGTGGGTGATGGACTTGAACAGAAAACCAAATTAAATTTCATGGATGTATCAGAAATCCTATAATATGAAATCCTATAATATGTATATATATATATATTCATATATGTGCATATTACTGTAATTGATTCATAGTGGTTTAGTTGTTTGACCCGTGATGTAACCACCAAGTTGAAAACTAATGATAATGACAATATGAGTAAGAATAAGAATAACAACGCTACTATCAATCGTAATCATAGAATGGAAATGGTAGTAGTAATAATGATGATGATGATGGTGATGATCATGATCATGATATAGAAATGATATGTAATGATTCAGTAGCAGTACTAGGTCGTCATCACCATCATCATTAAATCAGCTCCAAACGCCCTGCCGCGTTGCGCCTGTATCTTCTCCATGGTGGTTTCATGCAGGTAGTTTTCGACCTCAACCGCTACCAGAGGAGCTGCACTAATGTGGGCAACCATGGGCAACCCAATAATAAACCTACCAATTGGGGATGGGTTTTACCACCCCATTTATGGTGATTTGGGGGATGGTTTGTTATTGGGTTTATATAGGATGATGTTAAGGTCAACTAGCTATGAAACGTGGGCGCTCTCAAACCGGCCAATCTACATTGGATTCCAATGACTTTGATTAGTTGTAACCGATAATCATCTATTTTAGGAAATGAATCCTGGATTCGTATGGATTTCAATCGCCGGGTTGGCATAGATTATTGTGGCAAAATTGGGAAAATGGGGCATGGTTTATGGTGTGGTTTACCATTTTAATTGATTTGTAGCTCGTCATTTGCAGCTTGAAGGGGGACAATCCCACTTCGTAACCATTCATTGATTTCTGTGAGCATCGCGGTTTCGCTTCCTAGCTATCCCTGCGAATCCATGCCAGCACAGGACAGACCCGGTACACAACATCTGTCGTAGGGTATCTTGTTCGGGCTGAAGTACCTTGTTAGGATGGTTCTGTATCTAGATTGCATACAGTACAGTACAGTACAGTACAGTTCCTTTGATCCACTATGTACTTTTCCCACTCCTTTGGCGTTTCAATACAGAACTGAACAAGTTGAGGTGGAAGGCACACGCTGAGACAACTTTGATCAAGCATAGACAAAGACCCATCAGGATTAGGGTTTATCCAAACATTGGATACACCTAAAATCCAAGCAGGCTTGGAAAAATGTTTACCCGGTATTTACCCTCCAATTTCGGATAAATGTATTTTCTGTTGGCTGTATGTGTATATATATATAATATACACAGTGTGTATTAGTATATATATATATAATCATATAGAGTATATATATATGCATAGATATAATCATACATGTAATCATACATATATGTATGATCATATATATATATATATATGCATGCAGGCATGCATCTATGTACGTACGTACATCTGTCTGTCTGTCTGCCTGTCTGTATGTATGTAGGATTATGTATATAGGTAGGTACGCATGTGTCAACCCCTATGTTGCAAATCCCCAATTTCCACTGGTTCACATCCACATTTTGTTTGGTAGAATCCACGTCTTGGCTGGTTTAATACCATTTTGATCTGCTCAAATCCTCGATTTTGGCTGGGCAAATCACCAATGTTGCTGCTAAAATCAGATTTTTGCTGGTTCAATCTCAATTTTCCAGAGGGGTTGCTTTTGGGGTGGAAATTGAAATCGTAGAATAAGCGGGGACTTGCAGCCACTCCGATCAATTTCGCCGGTTCCAGAAGTCAAGACCAACCAACCTCTAGGCTCCCGACCCGCGCTTTCTCCTCCCGAATTCTCTTCTCGGCCTGGTGCGGACGGTTGAGATGGGAATGGAGGAAGACCCTGCACTCTAATGATCTTGTAATGTTGGGAATCTGGAATTTGTTAGGAATGTATTGGGAAATATAGGGATGTTATGATGCTATGGATTTTTTAGAGTGCAATTTAGATCATTTAGATATATTTGGAAATTGTTGGGAAAATATTGTGGACATCATGCGGATATACAGGAGGTGTAACTAACAATTGGAGTTTCTGGATAGAAATTTGCTTGGTTAGTGTTTGTGGGGTTAATTTACCCACGAATAAATGGGATAACCCAGGAAATGGGTATATATGAACTAGTCTTGTCACTCAGTGATCAAAATCCTGGGATGATCCTCCAAGTAACGATACTCTCACAACACAAATGTGGTTGTTCCATAAGCTGTAAGCGACCACTCAGCTTGGTCATATAACTGGTTGGTGAATTAGCATGAATTAGCAACAACCAACTGCGAAACAAACATATTCATCTTTGCGGATCATCCTCATTCTTGCAGTGATGCAACCTACAATGTATGAAGGTTTCCTAAATTGGGGTTCCCCCAACTGATGCAACTTTATATAGAGCATTTTAGTTTAATTCCAACATTAGACCATTTTAGTATTGAAACCCATGGTGACTTGGGGATCCCCCATGACTCAGGAAACCCCGATTTTACCATCATTCTTCATACATCAGCACTTGAAACGACCACAGACCTTTCAGATCCTTTGAGGAGCTTCTCCGAAATCGGACATGGCCTTTTTCATCTCCAGTCAAGTGAACATACCTCCCAGCCCTGGCCTTTTTCAAATAGTCAGAGCATGGATTTTGAGAAATGTACTGCTTCGACTCATCCTGCGGCTTCATTGGGGATCCTCATCCCCCAAAAAAAAGTGGGAAAATCCCCTACAGATGGAAGTTTTAATGGAAAAATCTGGGAAAAATCTGGGGATATTGTGGGACAATGTGGGCAACCCTGGCTGCCATATTTATTATCAACAACTCCTTTGGGGATGGTTTATGACATTGGGTTTTTCCAACGCCAGCCATGTTGATTAAAAGACCTTCCATGGGATTTCCATGGATTTGGGGGGTCCAACTTGGTGAAGATTCCGCTCCCATTGGTTGGATATGTATGTGTATATATATATATATATGTATATATATATATATATATGTATACATGTGAGATTACATGTGTACATGTGTACATGTATGTTTACATGTATACATGTATAGATGTATAGATGTATATATGTATACGTATACATAGAGGTGATAGATTCCATGCTTGGGGACTGTGCACTGGCTACGGCCAACCTGACTTCCTGAAGGCGAAGATTTCTCAACATGGGGGGTGCCAAAAACCATGCCTTTCAAATGGTTCCAATACTAAAATGATCTGAAGTTGGACCCAAGATTAGTTTACCTCAACCGAAGGACCATTTTTTATAGAACCCCCCTAAATACTTTTGGGTCGGTCCTTTGTTTTAACCCAAAAGTTGAGTAGAACTTCCAGGAAACGTTCCAGAGATCAGCAAAAACGATCCATTGCCTGGTAGAACTTGCGGGTGTGATCCAAGAATTGATCTTCAAAGCATTCCCGGTAGACCTGAGGTGCTAGGTCAAAGCCTGCCAGGATGGAACTGTCAAGACATGTTTAACGTGGTTCTGATTATATATAAGTATACATATATATATATATATATGTGTGTGTGTAACAGTGTATATATATATATATAACTATATAACTATACATACCCATAATACCCACCCTTTTGGTTGTTTTCCTGGTGATTTTGGGGTGGTTCACCGAATCTGAACCATATGCTTAGGCTTAAACTCAATTGGAAGACCACCAAAATCATGGTGACTGGGGATTTCCAGAAACCTGCAATAGCAAAATCAAGAGTAGGTTTTTTGTGGATTCTCCCCCTTTTTTTCAGCCCCAATATGACCAATATATACCAACTGGTTGGTGGTTTCAATCCCTCTGAAAAATATTGTCAGTTGGGATCATTATTCCCAATATATGGCAAAATAAACGCCATGTTCCAAACCACCAACCAGCTAACATGGCATCTCCGATTGTGGATTTCCAGTACAACCCGTGAAGTCGCCATCGAGGCACATTTTTGCCCTGCACCCCAAGCTCGACCAACATGTTCACCGTATGCTTCAGTAAGATCCGGTCCACCTACGGCGGAAGCGGAAATTCACATGGCAACCACGTCTATCTGGGAAATTGTATGGCAAAATTTGGAGATCATGCGATTTCGAGAGTTTATCATGTTCTTATGAATTTGATTTGTTTTTGGAGGCTAATCAGTCAATCAGAAATGATTTGGCCATCAGGAGTTTTCCCTATTTAATCATACATTGTTGCATCATGTTGCATCTATATGTATATATATATATGGTATAATTTCCATCCTGAAGGTGAAATGATCTGATAGTTTTACCATCAAAATGATACAATCGGACCCTCCAGTATTCAAACACGGGAATTCCTCATGTTCAAGAGGAACCTCATGTGGTTTGTTCTGCTTTGAAACATCTTCCGGGCCAAATCTTTGGCGCTGGTGGGTTGGGATTTTTAGATTGTGCCAGGGTCGAAAAAAGTATAGAGATCGTAGTAGATGTCCAAAACATTCCAAAACATTCTTTTGAATTTCGGCAATTATGTTTCTGGGTCAAACTTGGCGAGCCAAACAATGTTCAAGATTGATAAAATCAAAATCCGTGTTGAAGATGGAGGTGTCCAATCTATGGGCCCCCCCAAATCATCACCATTTGAGCATTGAAACACATGGTTTTTCACCTGTTCGCCACGGCGTTCTGCATTGATGTTGTCCAACCTTGCAGCATGTCGTTAGCACCAAAATGCAAGCCATGGAAGCAATGGAAGCCATGGTTTTAGCTTTAGTAACCCCAAAATGGCAAGACATGGGTAAATGATGGTTATTTAGGGTCTGGTTTGTTGAATAAACATGAATAAACTCCACACATTCCAAAATCATCCTGCTAGCGGCTAGCGAAACATACGGGGAAACGACATGACCCGTAAGTGTCGCAGAATTTCTTTGCGCCCCAAGCATTGCTTCGCCATTGGTTCGCTACCCGTTGGACCCGTCTTTCTGACCTGATACAGAATTTCCACCCGCCTTTTGGATCTTTAGGAGGTTGTTTTTTTTGAGTCAGTTTCACTCAACGTTTGAAAAAAGACTGGAGCTCGTATATCTAGTAGAGGTCTTGACAATAGCTCCAAAATCCGCCATCATCACTGAATCATCACCATCAATGTTCGAGTCCAAAATCCCTCTACAACAGCTGGCTGCTGCCAAGAGACATCAAGGTGAGAAGTTGTGACTTGACTCGTGCGTGTCCCGACACCTAGACCAACAAGAGCCGTGCCCAGCTTGGTGATCCGTGAGATTCTGAGGTTGCATGACTTTGCCATCAAAAATTGGGATCTAACTGGAGATACTCTGCTGCACTGAAAAAAAAATGATGTGTGATATTGTTGGTCAAAGTTTGTTGGAACCAGTTTTCTTGGTCATATCCGTGTTTGCTTGGTGCTCTTCCCACGGTATCTTTGGTTTACCTCTATAAATCAACAATGACATTGGATAATATTAATCATATATATATATAATATCCTGTTTTAACCCATGCTTCTGCGCTATGTCCACTTGGGATATATGAAAATCTTCCATTCATCACCCAGTGGTCACACCACACCTTCTCTCGGAAGATCATGAGGCCCATCTCGTAGACCGGAACCTGCACCGGACAACGGCAGCTTCCACGGCGACGGCTGACCCAATCCATGGATAGGTCAATACATTGAAGTACTAAGTATATAATACATATGTACATCATACAGTCATTTGCGTATATATATATAATCTAACCATATATAATGTGTATATATATATATACACATATGTACTAATATCTAGATAGGGATACCTTGAATAGATACATGGACATAATATATGACTTAATAAATATCTGCAGTAAATATGTGATCTATGTACGCATTCTACATATCATGCATTCATCTAAATTAACATGATGTCCAACCAATGCCTGGTGGTGCCCACGAAGGCACCTTTTTGTACTGGGTCACAAAGTTTCTGTCCATGTACATCAGGATGTCCCGGATCATCACCTGAAACCCAAATCACAGGAGCCTCTGGGACTTTTACATTGAAACATGCTGCTGTTCCATCAAAATGGTAGTTTACCAACAGGTATCCCCATGATTATCCCCATGAAACTCCAGTAAATCATCAGTTTCGCGAGGTAAAACAGCCATGTTATATCATGTCATGCCATTTTTCATAGCTAAATCCACCATTACCAGAGGCAACAGAGCGGTTCAGCTTCAGCTTCTTCCACTAGTCTGAGCATCGAACCATGGTGGTCTTGTGATCGTCCCACTGCTTCTTCCTGGCTAATCCCTTCCCCCTAATATTCAACGCCCTCCAGAAACCATGGTTTAGTAGGCTATTTACGCATGGGGATTATTCAGGTGTTTCATGTCAAGATGGGAAAATTCACCCATATCCACCATGGCCATGTCTCATGTCAGATCTGATTTCTTGCGCAATGTTTGATGTTTACCCCAAGCTCAACCATCTGTTACCCTATATATATATACATATATATATATATACATGACATGGCAAGGGCAAATCCAACATTTACTCGAAACTCACTTACAGGAGATTTTAGATGGGTGTCTTTGAAAATGAACTATACTCCAAAAGCATTAGTTTCCTAAAAAGAGCCAGTGACTTGGATGGTAACATGGGGTCCCCATGCAGAAATCTCCGCCTTCCGGCTATCATGGCTGGCAAATCCCCCAAAATCAAAGGAGGTTTATAGCTGGGACATCGAACAATATCCGGGCTACCCTCTGGTGAACTAACAGTTTGCTATTGAAAATGGCCATTGAAATAGTGAGTTTTCCCATTAAAAATGGTGGATCTTTCCATTGCTATGTTAGTTCACCAGAGGGTAGCCCTAAATTCCGCCAAGGCACAGCTCTTCTAAGAGCCGATCGCTAGGGCCTGAGTCATCGATGGCTTTTCGGGAAAAATCTGCCGAAAACCATCGGTTTTTCCCCAAAGAAAACTGGAAAATTCTGCAGATTTTCCCTTCATGCCTGGTGAAATGCCATAGTTTTCCGCCTGCTCGCTTGGTACGCTATCTTGTTGGCAATAGATACACCATATTTGGCAGTGACCTGAATCCCTTCTCAATACAACAGGACTGGGCCCTTTGCCAACCTTTACTGAGGTCAACCATCAAAGAGTCTGGGGCATTTCCCCAACAGTGGGGGATATCAGAAGCAAACTAAACAGGGATATGATCAACGAACCGTACTTAATTGCAAAAAGAAACAACGAGAAAAGCCATCTGCTGCCAAGTACTAGATTTCAACCCACTGGGGTACTGGGACTTGAGAATTGAAAGTGTTCATTGTTGCAGTGTGGGTTTTAATTTAGTGCCCATGAAATTGCAATGGTGGTGGTGATGAGAAGGAGAAGGAGAGGGAGAAGGGGAAGGGGGGAGGGGGAGGAGGATATGATTGTTGTCATCATGAGGTTGTTTGAGGAAGGAGGACATAGTCTTGAAGATGACTTTCAGATTATCAGATGATGAGGAGGATAAACACGGTGATGAGGACTCCTAGAAAAGTGGTTTCCATGGTAGAGTTGCAAGTGTCAAGTCATGCCCGTTGTCTTCTTGTATTTATGATGCGGCACTTATGACTCAAAGACCAGGAAAACAAAGGAGTCCAACCCCAATGCCAACTGATCAGCATGAGATTCCGTTCAGAAAAAAAAATACTTTACTTCGTGTGATCCCCACCATGACATTTATACATTTTCTTACTGGCAAATCTTCTGGCATTCTATCTGACATATCTTCTGACATTCTATTTGACATTCTATCTGGCATATCTTCTGGCATATGATCTGGCATATCTTCTGGCATATCTTCTGGCATTCTATCTGGCAAATCTTCTGGCATTCTTTCTGGCATATCTTCTGGCATTCTTTCTGACATATCTTCTGGCATTCTATCTGGCATATCTTCTGGCATATATTCTGACATATCTTCTGGCATTCTATCTGACATATCTTCTGGCATATATTCTGACATATCTTCTGGCATATCTTCTGGCATATCTTCTGGCATATCTTCTGACATATCTATCTGGCATATCTTCTGGCATATTTTCTGGCATTCTATCTGGCAAATCTTCTGCATTCTATCTGGCATTCTATCTGGCATATCTTCTGGCATATTATCTGGCATTCTATCTGGCATATCTTCTGGCATATCTTCTGGCATATCTTCTGACATTCTTTCTGACATTCTTTCTAACTTTCTTCTGCACATTCTTTGTCCCATATCTTCCTACATGAGGTCCGGCAGGGAACACTTGGCGTGGATGATTTGAGGTTGAGGTCCGGCAGGGAACACTGGGCGTGGATGGTCGTGGTTGAGGTCCGGCAGGGAACACTGGGCGAGGATGGTCGTGGTTGAGGTCCGGCAGGGAACACTGGGCGTGGATGGTCGTGGTTGAGGTCCGGCAGGGAACACTGGGCGTGGATGGTCGTGGTTGAGGTCCGGCAGAGAACACTGTGGATCGCGGGTCGCAGTTGAGCAAGGACGACGAGGACGACGAGGACGACGAGGAGGACGAGGAGGAGGAGGAGAGGAGGACGAGGCAGGAGGAGGCGGAGGACGAGGAGGAGAAGGAGGAGGAGGAGAAGGAGGAGGACGAGGAGGCAACTGACATAAAATCTAACAACCCTCACCTGGCAGGTGGGGAAAAAAAAACAGGTAGCATATATATCCCCAGCTACATAGCAAAACATAATAGACCATATTGGCAATATATAGATAAATGATCTTCCTGGCCATATACTGTGTAGCATATAGCAGCTATATATATATGTTGCGAATCGGTGATTGTCTGTCCGATTATATCCTGATAGTCAATGTCAAAGTGGATGTTCCAGTGATGACGTTACAAGGGCATCAGCTTCCGCATTGCAATTGTTTTCTCTGACGCTGCAGTGGGTCTTGAGCCAAAAGGGCCATTGTCGCAACCCTTTGGCTTCGAGTCTTAGAGTGAATTATGTGATAATGTACATTGGTCCGTAGCTTACACTCTATTCGCACCCCCCACGCATAGCCAACTTTGTTGGCTACGCGCAAAGGAGTGTCCCTCGAATTGATCCACTATATTTGCAGCTATTCATTTGTTGAATTATGGAGAGCTAAAGTCCGTTTCAGAACTTTCAATCTACATGGTGGCTTGCTACAATCTCTACCAAAAGATAAAGGTTCTGTTCACGTGCATGTAGACACGACGTAGTCGGTGTCTAGCGTTGAGGTTCATCCAATGTGGCGTAGCCATCATGGAATCCCACTCAAGCATGTGAATTTTAAAAAAATCAAAACACAAAGTTGACTATGGAACTAGAAGTTTACCTTCCCGTCCCTTCGTCGGTTGAGACGTAGACCGCTGTAGAAACTCAGCGTTTCATGCAATGATGTTCAAAAAAATGTGTGGTTCTAAATTAGCCGGCTCAGAGTCCTCTCAGAAATCATTCAAAAATGAAGTAGAGGTAAATCTCGAGCAATGATTGCATCCTCGCATCGCCAGGTTCAATCAGGACCTATGCAGAGGTCAGATCGCTTAATCATCTGTATCCCCATCCATAGTATCCCTGATGGTTCCAGTCTCCGCCACGGTGTGAATAAGATTTTCCACCTTTTCCTTGATCTTTTCCACCCTTCTTTGGCGGGGTCACTGGAGCTTGTTTTGGCTGAGGAGCGGTTTCAACTGTTCTCCATGTCGCTGACGATGATGCTTTCGCTTTCGACACTCTTCCCAGTGCTGGTGCAGCTTTCGGGGCTGCTTTCGATTTGCCAGCGGCTGGATTGGTACGTTCACGATCAGCAGGAGTCGGGGTATCAGCAATCGCAAGTATGTGAGCTTCAGACAAGTGGATGCCCCACCTTGGTCGTTGATCTTCCCGTTGCTTGATGTGATTGTAGTCATCGATCGCATCATATAGCTTTTGGAGTAGAGGTCGCGGCAATTGTCGGCCATTCTGAAGGATCAGGTGTAAAAGTGATATTCTTCGAAGTGGTGGACGAAGAGCACACACAATGTCAACTGGATTCAGTGTGATTGTGTCCTGAAAGTCAACGTTCCTGAAGAAATAAACAGCATTTACCCTACATGCACCTGCAATGATTCTTCTGACCATGACGTCTTGTCGGTCAAGGGCGTCGCGGGCCGCTGTGGTCTTTCTCATCTCATCCATTGTGGTGTCACGTTTCGACAGCTTCTCCATCTCCTCATCAAAGAATATGTTTTGCAAGTCATCATACGTGTAGCCACATTCAAGGGTATATATGAGAAGTCTTTTGAGTACCACTGCCCCATAGTATGCATTGACGAATCCCTCTTCTCCGATGTCGTCCTTTTGATTTGGTCGGCCGATCTCTTTGTAGAGCTCTTTCATCTGTTGTGCAGTTGGTTCAATGAGTTCACCATTTTCATCCTCGCCCAGGTAAGGTGTCCTTGAGTCCAGGTCCATCCTGAATTTCTGGTTCTGTTGAAAATGTTTCCATGCCGTCTCGATGTCTCCACAGAAGTTCCGTTGGAATAGTCTGTAGATCCTGACGATATGTAATCCAATCTGCAACAGGAGGATCTTGATGAATTCTGGCTGAGCATCTCCAATTGTGCAAGGTTCGATCGGCAGGACCTTTGATCCAAACTCAATCCGCTGCATCCACTTGGGGTACTCAATCACTGCATCACGAGCTTCTCCAGCCTCGTACTCTTCAATGTTGATTTCATCGACCGCTTTCTCTTCATCATCATTCTCATCGGTCGGTTTTCCCTCTTGATTGAGAAATTTATCGACCTCATCTTCTTCTCTGAAGTCTCTTTTCTCATCATTGATGTCGCCCTTCTTCGAGGCTTGATCATCATCTCCTTCTTCTGGTTGAGTCTCTTGTTCTGGACTCTTCATGGTGACATCATCATCATCTGGCATCACCTCGTCGTCATCATCATCACCTGTCAAATCGATCTTCACCTCCTCCCATGCTTTCTTGACATGGTCTTTGAGATCTTCTTCTCGATGATGTGATTCGGCCTTTGGTACTGTAGCCACGGTGATCTTGATTCGTTTCCTCCATCCATGACTCACCAAAAATCCTTTGCACATCACACAAATCGATAATGGCGCAGGGGTCTCCATCAGACATGCGGGGCATAGTCGATGGTCCTCTTTGCTAGGGATGATGAGTGACTGCCAATAATGAAATTGCATCATTCCAATCCGGATGTCCAGGGAACAATCTGTGAGTATGACTGAAGTGACCGGTCCTGATATCGACAAGTTTTC